CTTTTAATTGGTGCATTTAGTCCATTTACATTTAGGGTTAATATTGTTATGTGTGCATTTGATACTGCCATTTTGAGGCTAAGTGGCTGTTTTGCCCATTAGTTGATGTAGATTCTTCATTATGTTGATGCTCTTTAGCATTTAGTGTGATTTCGGAATGGCTGGTACTGGTTGTTCCTTTCTATGTGTAGTGCCTCTTTCAGGAGCTCTTGTAAAGCAGGCCTGGTGGTGACAAACTCTCTGAGTACTTGTTTGTTTGCAAAGGATTTTATTTTTCCTTCACTTATGAAGCTCAGTTTGGCTGGATCTGAAATTCTGGGTTGAAAGTTCTTTTCTTTAAGGATGTTGAATATTGGCCCCCACTTTCTTCTGGCTTGTAGAGTTTTTGCCAAGAGATCTGCTGTGAGTCTGATGGGCTTCCCTTTGTGGTGACCCGACCTTTCTCTCTGGATGTGCTTAGCATTTTCTCCTTCATTTCAACCCTGGTGAATCTGACGATTCTGTGCCTTGGGGTTGCTCTTCTTGCGGAATATCTTTGTCGTGTTCTCTGTATTTCCTGCATTTGAGTGTTGGCCTGTCTTAATGGTGGGGGAAATTTTCCTGGATAATATCCTGAAGAGTATTTTCCAGCTTGGATTCATTCTCTTCGTCACATTCTGGTATGCCTATCAAACGTAGGTTAGGTCTCTTCACATAGTCCCACATTTCTTGGAGACTTTGTTCATTCCTTTTTGCACTATTTTCTCTAATCTTGGTTTCTCATTTTATTTCATTGAGTTGATCTTTGATTTCTGATATTCTTTCTTCTGCTTGGTCAATTCAGCTGTTGAAACTTGTGCATGCTTCGCGAAGTTCTCGTATTGTGTTTTTCAGTTCCTTCAATTCATTCATATGCCTCTCTAAGTTATCCATTCTTGTTATAATTTCCTCGAATATTTTTTCATGGTTCTTAGTTTCTTTGCATTGATTTAAAACATGTTCTTTTAGCTCACAAAAGTTTCTTATTATCCACCTTCTGAAGTCTAATTCCGTCATTTCATCACAGTCATTCTCCGTCCAGCTTTGTTCCCTTGCTGGTGAGGAGTTTTGGTCCTTTGTAGGAGGCGAGGTGTTCTGGTTTCGGGTGTTTTCCTCCTTTTTGCGCTGGTTTCTTTCCATCTTTATGGATTTATCCACCTGTCATCTGAGTAGTTGCTGACTTTTCAATTGGGTCTCTGAGTGGACGCCCAGATTGTTGATGATGAAGTATTTCTGTTACTTTGTTTTTCTTCTACCAGTCTACCCCCTTTACTGTACGACTGCTGAGGTCCACTCCAGGCCCTGCTAGTCTGGGGTGCACCTGTAGCAGCTGAGGAACAGTGAGGGATGCTTAGCATAATCCCAGCAGGCTCCTATTGGGGTTAAGCCACAGTTTCAACCTTATTAATTAGTATCATTCTTTAATCATAAAGCCAGAGGATGTTAAGATTGGGCTTGATCTGGGAGACTATTCAGTCTGCTTTTCTGTTTATTGATGTGAGAATAACAGAGCCTAGAGAAAGTAAGCTGATTACTCACAATCGTAAAGCTTTAGAGGTCAACCTGAAATTAGGCTTCTGATGTGAGATTCTGTAGTGTTTCCTTCATGTGTTCCCCCTGGCTGAGACAGTTCATGGGCTTTCAGGTTTGACATTTTTCTCTCCAGTCTCTAAACAGAAGCTTTTATGTGGACATTCTAGGTTAGCATAGATGGACGATGACCCTGCAATGTGTGCATAATCCCAAAGGCTGACCACTGTGGATGGGAACTATCCCAGATGTGTCAGGAGTACCACAGGCGTGCTCACTTCTCTATTCATTGGAGCTGTATACAGTGGAAAGGAAACCCAAACCAAGACACTTTGCTGCTTCAGTTCTTTTATTACATGTCACAGTCCAATATGTCTCCATTTAAATTCAGACTTTTTGATGAATCATCAGACCAGCTGCAGGCCCTTTGGGTCAGAAGTCTTGATCTCACCAACTGTTCATTTTCTTAATGGACTTCCTTACTTCAGGCATTTGTGTGTAGCTGGTCTATTGTGGAGTTGTCAGAAGGGTGTGGAGCCCTGTCTTTTTGGGACAGTCGGTTCTCTCAGTGTAGCATGTCCTGAAGCGGGGCTGTCTCCATTCTCTTGTGTGTGAAGTCTTTTGTTAAGCAGGGTGAAGTGAGAGAGGACTCCTAAAGAGAAAATGTCCTTCAGCATTTGCTGAAACATGTTTATGAACTGACCAAGATGTAATTGGATGGCATGAAAAAGGCTAAAATTTATTTAATTTCTTGCTGTCTGGTTTGTGGTACATGGTGCCTTAAATTGAGTTTAGAAGAAACTTTGCAGATGGAATTTTGTTCTGTTGCCCAGGCTGGAGTGTAGTGGTGTGATCTCAGCTCACTGCAACCTTTGCCTCCTGGATTCAAGTGATTCTCCTGCCTCAGCCTCCCAAGTAGCTGGGATCACAGGCACCTGCCACCATGCCTGGCTAATTTTTATATTTTTAGTAGAGATGAGGTTTTACCATATTGGCCAGGCTGCTCTCAAACTCCTGACCTCAAACGATCTGCCCACCTCGGCCTCACAAAGTGTTGGGATGACAGATGTGAGCCACTGTGCCCGGCCAAGGGTGTCATATTTAATTCTACTCCCTGTGGCCTCTTTTACAATACCAATCATGCATGGAGCCCATGGTTTTGCTGCACCTAGTCTTACTCAAACAAAGGCTCTGGACTTTCATAGTTTACACTGACATATTCTAGTTTGCCTCTGAAATGTGCTCTGAGGATGCTGACTTCCAGATAGCCATTCTTGGCTTCCAGATAGTTATTTTTGGGTGAAGGGAATTTCAAGTCTTTTGAGTATAGTAGCCACACCACTTAGCTTCATTTTGGTTTGTTACAAAATTTATTTTAGCTTAGTTTTCTTAGATTAAGTGGGCAAAGACAGAGCAGAAGCTTTTGGGAGGCTGAGGTGGGTAGATCATGAGGTCAGGAGTTTGAGACTGATGTGGCCAACATGGTGAAATCCTGTCTTTACTAAAAATACAAAAGTTAGCTGAGCATGGTGGTGCGTACTCATAATCCCCACCACTTGGGAGGCTCAGGCAGGTGAATTGCTTGAACCCAGGAGTCTCTTGAGAAGTTGGGACTGCAGCACATGCCACCATATTCAGCTAATGTTTTTTAAATTTTTAGTGGAGACACGGTTTCTCTACGTCACCCAGGCTGGTTTCAAACTCCTGGACGTAAGTGATTCACCTGCCCTGGCCTTTCAAACTGCTGCAATTACAGGTGTGAACCACCATGCCTGTTTTTTTTTTTTTTCTCATTTTTCTCTCTTCCTTTCCTTCTTTGGTAGATGGAAATGTGTCAGGTACCAGCTATTCATCCAATGACCACTCCTCAGTTCCAAATTCACCCTTCACTGCCTGCTCTGCAAACATAGAGGTGGGTTCCTTAAATGCTTCCTCTGTCAACTGGTGCATTATTAAGTGTTGTCACTACATGGTGCTGTTATAAGGGGCGTTCTAAGCGGCTTTTCTTTCTAGTTGTGTGCACATCTTCACAGGTGCTGAGCTTTTGCAGCAGCAGGCTGCTGCCCTGCATGGTGCTTAGCAGCAGGCAGTGACCAGCAGTTTCTCTGCATTTGCCTGGGTGGTTTTGCGGTGAGACAACTGTTTACTAATAGGTTGAGCTAGCACCCTAGATGGTGGATTTTCAGCAAATTGCAGAGGGCATATTGCTAGCATGTTGCATGCACCATGTGGTAATGCAGCACTTCTGCCATTGAATTACCCATGACTGTGCCCTCTCCAAGGGGGCCTGGATCTCAGCCTTAGTGGGGAATCCCTTCCTTGGTCACTCTACCTCAGCATAGGGACAGTAGGAACTTACTGCTCATTGTAACAGCTGGTCCTATACTTTGTTTTTTTGAGGCAGGGTCTCTCTCTTTTGCCCAGTCTAAAGTGCAGTGGTGAAATCATGGCTCACCACAGCCTTAACCTCCTGGGCTGAAGCAATTTTTTCACCTCAGCCTCCCAAGTAACTAGGACTACAAGTGTGTGCCACCATACCTGGCTTTTTTTTCTTTCTGGTAGAGCCAGGATCTCACTGTGTTTCCAAGGCTGGTCTCAAACTGCTGGCCTCAAGATGTCCTCCTGCCTTGGCTTCCCAAATTGCTGCAATTGTAAGCATGAGCCACCATGTCTGGCCTATGCTAGCCCTATGTTCTCTAGAGTTCTCTTTACTTTTGTAGCCAATCTCTCATATGGTGTTCCCTTGTTATTTAATTGCTTTTTTTATTTTAAATTTGACCACTTTAAACTTTGGGTGATTTATGTCTTTTGATTGGACTCTGACAAATACAGAACTGATGCTATGAAGGGTTCTGGGAGAAAAACCCACACAAATGGGATTTGGGCATAGGTTTGGTTATCCAAGGGGCAGTGTTGAGCTTCTTGTCAATGGGAAATGGGATGCTGGTGATTTTTAGGAAGTGACCTCATAATGTTTCAAGCTGCCACTTAGTGTTGATTGCGATGAAATGCCAGCTGAGACACATGCCTTAGGAGCTAAGTGGCTTCTGTACTTGACCACGATGAAGACTGGTGTGGGGAGGGTCCTTTTGGATGCAATGGAGCAGGGGCACCTAATCCCTGAATCACAGGCCTGTACTTGGCCACACAGCAGGAGGTGAGCAGCAGGTGGATGAGCAAAGCTTCATCTGTATTTACAGCCACTCCCTCTTTGCCACCTGATCTCCACCTCCTGTCAGGTCAGTGGCAGCATTAGATTCTCATAGGAGCAGGAACCCTATTGTGTAACTGTGCATGCAAGGGTTCTACCTTGCTCTGTCTTTATGAGAATCTAATGCCTGATAATCTGTCAGTATCTTTCATCACCCCCAGATGGGACCATCTAATTTCAGGAAAACAGACAAGCTCAGGACTCCCACTGATTGTACATTATGGTGAGTTATATAATTATTATATACTACAATGTAATAATTACAGAGTGCACAATACATGTAATGTCCTTGAAATATTCCAAAACAGACCCCCTGCCCCCAGTCTGTGGAAAAACTGTCTTCCATAATATTGGTCCCTGGTGCTGTAAAACCTGGGGACTGCTGCGCTTGAGCACTCACAGAAAGAAATACGCAAAGCTCACGTCTTAGCATAAGTCATGTTCTAAGATCCAGAGAGCTTCCATGATAGCCCAAACACAATTCCGTATTTCTTGTTTCCACAGGGTTGATATTATTAAAAATCAAACACAAACTTAAATGTGTGGATTGCTGAATTACAATGACAGTTGAATTCACTGCATCACCAAGGTTCTCATGAGAACATTGGGGCACTAATAGGTGAAGAATGGGATTCTTTTTCCTTTTGAGACAGTCTCCCTCTGTTGCCCAGGCTGGAGCACGGAGGTGTGATCTTGGCTCACTGCAGCCTCAGCCTCTGGGGTAGCTGAGATATGACCACAGGTATGAGCCACCACACCCAACTAATATTTTGTGTTTTGTAGAGATGTGGTTTCACCACATTGCTCAGGCTGGTCTTAAACTCCTGGGCTCAAGACGTTCACCCACCTTAGACTTCTAAAGTTTTGAGATTACAGGCAGCAGCCGCCATGCCTGGCCCTGTTTTCTTCGATACTGGTTTATCAGGAAGGCCTCCAGTTGTCTTCCTGACTTCCAGGCTTGCTCACTTCAGCCTGTTCACTGAAGCCAGAGGAATTTTTCTAAAGCAAATTTGGGTCAAAATGGTTCTGGTTTAAAACCTGCTGGTGACTGCCCATTGCCTTTAAGATAAAATCCAAACTAATTCAGCCACAGGGCCTGGTAAGAGCTGGCCTCGGCTTACCTTTCCAGTTTTATCCTGCACCACCCTCCCCATATTCCTCCCCTCCAGCCATGTGGAATGTCAGTTTCCTTGGGGGACTTTACTGGTGTCCTTCTTCAGGAAACCTTCCCCTATTCTCATCATCACTCTTTGACTCTCATCTTTGCTCATCTTTAGCCTCAGCCGAGGTGTCTCACCCCATTCTCTATGATGCGAGAAGAAGCCCACTGGGAGCATTTCCGTCCCACTCTGTACTTCTACCATTGTGCTCCTCACAGTCTGGTAAGTGTTGGCATATGATTGCTATATTAGTTTGTTTTGCATTGTTATAAGCATACATGTGAGGCTTATAAATAAAAAAGGTTGGCCAGGCACAGCAGCTCATGCCTTTAATCCCAGCACTTTGGGAAGCTGAGGTGGGCGGATCACAAGGTCAAGGGATTGGGACCATCCTGGCCAACATGGTGAAACCCCATCTCTACTAAAACACAAAAATTAGCTGGGCTTGCTGGTGCATGCCTGTAATCCCAGCTACTCAGGAGGCTGAGACAGGAGAATTACTTGAACCCAGGAGGCGGAGTTTGCAGTAAGCCTACATCATGCCACTGCACTCCAGCCTGGATGATAGACTGAGACTCCATCTCAAAATAATAATCATCATCATCATAACAAACTTAGCTAGGTATGGTGGTACATGCTTGTAATCCCAACTACTTGGGAGGCAAGATCACTTGAGTCCAGGAGATGGAATCTGCAGTGAGTCATAATCACCTCACTTTACTTCAGGCCTGTGTGACAGAGGTGAACTCTGTATCCAAAAAAGAAAATAGTTATTGGGGAAAAAAGACTAAACAAGCAAAGGGGTCAGGAGAGTCCTGTGAATGTGGGTCATGTCAGCAGAGTGTAGGGACTACTGGGCAGGAGGGACTTGAAGAACGGGGTGGTGGAGACAAGGTCTTTCATCCTAAACAGTTTGTTCTGTAGCATGTAGATCAAATATCCCACGTTGGTTGCTGGTGACTGAACTGGGCTTCCTGTTTCTGTGTTTGGTTTGACCATCACAATGTTGAAAAACCTTTGAAATGAATACCGTGCCATTTGCTACAGTTCCTTCTGGTCTCTGGCATTAATTACTCCAGCCTCCTTTCTTCATGTAGCTTGCCTGATCTGCTGAGACCTGTGTTTGCTCTCCCTGCAGATGGGTGGGTAGGAGGCGATTTAAGGAGGAACATTTAATATATGAGATTTTATATATGTACATATGTGTATATGTGTGTATGTGTGTGTGTGTGTGTGCATATAAACATAAATAGATTGGGTGTGGTGGCTAAAGCCTATAATTCCAGCACTTTGGGGGCCAAGGCAGGAGGATTAGTTTGATCTAGCAGTTCAAGACCAGCCTAGGCCACATAGTGGCCTTCTCTACAAAAAATTTTTAAAATTAGGCATGGTGGCATGCACCTGTAATCCCAGCTGCTTGGGAGGCTGAAGTGGGAGGATGACTTGCGCCCAGGAGTTGAAACCTGCAGTGAGCTGTGATCTCACCACTGTGCTCCAGTCTTGGTAACAGAGTGAGACCCTATCTCAGAAAAAAAAAAAAAAAAAGAGAGAGAGAGATAAATATACTTCTGAGTGCTCTTTAGGAGAAAATTATATTTTAATATTTCATTCTTCCTTAAATTTTTTATATTCTAGCAAACCATTTCTTCAGCAAGGAGAAATAAATCTCATCCAAAGAGCCCTAGGAGGAAGGGCAGAGTAAGAAAGTCAGAAGCACTGTAGTTATTTTGAGCAGCTTCTATCTTCGGACTGCTAAGCTGGCCAGTGCCAGGCTGGGTCCACTTTTTCTCCTCTTTAATTTCTCAAACTGAAAGAGTCCTGCTAGAATCTGAAGTCAGATCTGTAGATCAGCATTGACTCAGCAGTCTGCTATGTTGTGAGGTGTTACCCCAGGAACTACAGAATACAAAATGCAAGAGGAAGCTGGAATAGAGCATCTCCCAGTGAAATGAGAGCCAGAGATAACGGCAGTGCCCCAATGGAGAAAGCCAGCTGTTATTTGGCAGTGCCTTGTGGAAAGGCTGTACTTTGGTTAGATCTCCACAATCTGGAATGTGACCTTCAATATTATTGGTCCACAAACTCCAGTTTCTCATGTTTCCTGCATAGGTCAGTGTTGTAGGGAGTGGTTCATCTTAGCAGAACTTCTTGGTTTTCATGGCCGGTGTTCCATTTATTAATTGACAAAGGAGGCATATTTCTCCTCTGGTAACCAGAAGATTTGTCCTTTCCCTTGGGACTCCCTTGCAGGTTCTTGGAAAACTAAGCAGAGGATGAGGAAAGGCTGTGAACACACTTTCTGGTCCCTTCCTGTCCTACAAAAGAGCACACCTGTTCTGTAACTGGAAGACCCTTTTTATTAGTCAAGGCTGGACAGACTGAGGGGTGTGTGTGTGTGTGTAGACATGGTCTCACTCTGTCACCCAGGCTGGAGTGTAGTGGTGAGATCATTGCTCACAGCCGCTTCCACTTCCTGGGTTCAACTATCCTCCCACTTAAGCCTCCAGGGTAGCTAGGACTATAAGAATGTGCTGCCATACCCAGTTCCTTTTCTAATTTTTTTTTTGTAGAGATGAGGTTTCACTGTGTTACCAAGGCTGGTCTTAAACTCTTGGCCTCATGGGATCCTCCTGTCTTAGTCTTTCAGTGGGCTGGGATTATGGATATAAGGCACCTCACCTGACCTGTGATGAGTTTTCGACAATGTCATTCCTTTTTTACAGAAGCACTAAGCTGAAGAGTCCCTTGAGAACAAGTACTATCCTGTGGTTTCATAACCTTTCTTCCGTTTATGGTTCTTGCCACGTTAAATTTAAATTATATCTTATCAAGATGGATAAACCCAAGTTTTCCAGAGCTGGAATATAAAAAATGGATGGACCTATAAGTCCTACTCACCCATAGCCAACGCATGGAGACCTCAACACACCTGGGCCCTAGACATCACCTTTCATTGTGAGTAGCTCTGAGATAACACTTCTGGTTGGTAAGTGCCCACTGGCAATAATTTATGTAACAGCAAGTGAAGGAATGAAGAGTCAACAAAACATTTTCTGTTCCCAATTCTAGCATGAATTTGATTAGATAATTACTCTATGAAGAATTTTCATATGCCACAGTTCTGACCAAATTCTCAAGTGAACCGAAAAATTATATTTAAAAGTCAACCTTCTTTCTCACTCTGTTGCCCAGACTGGAGTGCAGTGGTGCAATTATGGCTCAGTGCAGCCTCAACCCCCTGGGCTAACGCAGTCCTTCCTCAGCCTCACAAATAGCTGGGACTACAGATGCTTGCATGGATTTTGGTATACACAGATATTGGGGAGCTGGACCCAATCCTTCCATATACCAAGGGACAAATTGTATGTTTTGTTTTGTTTTTGAGACATTCTTGCTCTGTTGCCTAGGCTGGAGTGCAATGGCACAATCTCAGCTCACTGCAACCTCCACCTCCCAGGGTTAAGAGTGGGCTAAGATTACAGGTACCTGCCATCACGCCCAGCTAATTTTTGTAGAGACAGGGTTTCACCATGTTGGCCAGACTGGTCTTGAACTCCTGACTGCAGGTGATCTGCCTGGCCTCAACCTCCCAAAGTGCTGGGATTACAGCTGTGAGTCTCTGTGCTGGGGCTTTTTTTTTTTTTTTCCGAGGTGGAGTTTTGCTCTTTTTCTCCCAGGCTGGAGAGCAACGGTGTACTCTCAGCTCACCACAACCTCCACCTCCCAGGTTCAAATGATTCACCTGCCTCAGCTTCCTGAGTAGCTAGGATTACAGGCACCACCGCACCTCACTAATTTTGTATTCTTAAGTAGAGATGGGGTTTCTCCATGTTGGTCAGGCTAGTCTTGAACCCCTGACCTCAGGTGATCCACCTGCCTTGGCCTCCCAAAGTGCTGGGATTACAAGTGTGAGTCACCGCACCCAGCCTCTATCTGTTTTTACAATTATACTGTTAATTACATGATGTTCCATGACAGTGGTACATTTTTAATGACAATTTTTAATTGAGTGGAATTACCATAAAGATAATAAAAGTAGAAGCTAATATTTACTGAGCTGTTACTAGGTGCCTTTAAATACCATAGATTTCTAAATTCCCCATAACTCTTCCTTATTTTGCTTAACCGCTCTATCTTAAATTACTCATGCTTGCTTCAGTAGCACATATACTAAAGTTGGAACAATAGAGAGATTGGCGTGGCCTCTGTGCAAGAATGACGTGCAAATTTGTGAAGTGTTCCGTATGTTTTTAAACAGAAAAATATTACTCCTGGATTTTCACTGTGTTTGTGCATATGACCTTTTGTTTAGGTTGAATTGTATCCGAAGATGATATTTCCAGAAATGAGATTACTGTGAGTCACAGGACATTAGCATTCTTGTTATACTTGATGTAAACTGCCGAGCTTTCAGGCATGGTGGCTGTTGGCCTATAATGCCAACACTTTGGGAGGCTGAGGTGGGAGGATTGCTTGAGGCCAGGAGTTGGAGGAGGCAGTACAGTGAGTCACTGTATTCTTTTTTAAAAGTTTCCAAGCTTTACCCTGGTGGAAGGCTTGTATACAATGTAAACATCACTAATAGTAGAAGAAAATGCCCATTTCACTGCACCTTTGCTGGCACAGGGTATAATAACAAGTTATGTTTTGTTTGATTATTTTTAATAAATAAAAGACCTCATAAATTTTGTTACATTTTAATATATATTTTCTTATCTTAGTTTATTAGCTTTCTTTTTCTTTCATTTTTTTTCAGATGAAGTTTCACTCGTTGCCTAGGCTGGACTGCAAAGGCACAATCTCTGCTGACTGCAACCTCCTTCTCTTGGATTCAAGCCATCCTCTTGCCTCTGTCTGCAGAATAGCTGGAATTACAGGCATGTGCCACCATAACTGGCTAAGTATTTTCAATAGAGACAGGGTTTCTCCGTGTTGGTCAGGCTGGTCTTGAACTCCGTACCTCAAGTGATCCAACTGACTCAGCCTCCCAAAATGCTGGGATTACAGGTGTGAGCTACCGTGCCCAGCTAGCTTTCTTTTTTGCTCCCTCTCTTTTGTTGGGAGACCAAGTCTCACTCTGTAGCCCAGGCTTGAGTATGGTGGTACAGTCTCGACTCACTGCAGCCTTGACCTCCTGGGCTCAGGTGATCCTTCCACCTCAGTAACTGGGACTATAGGCACATGCCACCATGTCTGGCTAATTTTTTTGATTTTTAATAGAGACGAGGTCTTGCTATGTTTTGCAGTCTGGTCTGGAATTCCTTGCCTCAAGCAATTCTCCCACTGCCCCTCCCAAAGTGCTGTTATTATAAGCATCAGCCACCAAGGCTGGGCTGTCCATGTCTTTTCTGTTTATTTATAGAGTTAACATGTCTTTTACTAATTGGATGATCTATATATTTAATCTTTTATTAAATTATAATAATAGTAAAGACTTTTAAATGATGAAGTGAAAAATTACCTTTACGCTTTAGACCCATAATCTTATCTCAGGAAATAATTGGCCATATTCTTCAAATACATATGGGCTAATTGAATATCACTTCTCATTTTCATATTTTGTGGACATCTGTGTCAATTTCTATTGATCTATCTGAATCCTTTTCATGGTTTCCTAATGTTTTATTATAAGGATATATCACAATTGACCAGCCAGCCTCTATAGCCATTTAGGCTCCTTCTAATATTTGCTTTGAGCTCTTTATATCATTAAAAATTAACCTCCTCAGCAGGTTGTGGCAGGTGTGGCAGCTCACACCTGTAATCCCAGCACTTTGGAAGGCTGAGGTGGGAGAACTGCTTGAGGGAAAAGGATAAATCACCACCAGCTTCGTCTCTAATAAAAGTTAAAGATAATGTGAGCTGGACATTGCGGTCCACACCTGTAGTCCCAGCTACTGGGGAGTCTTGAGACTGGAGGATCACTTGAGCCTAGGAGGTCGAGGCTGCAGTAAGCTGTGATCACACCACTGCACTCCAGCTTTGGTAACAGTAAGAATGCATTTCTTCAATAAAATGAAAATTAGGTTGGAAGATTGCTGAAGTCCTGCAGGTTGAGTCTGCAATGAGCTGTGATTGTACCACTGCGGTCCAGCCTAGGGGATAGAGCAAGATTGTTCCTCAAAAAAGTAAAATACAATAAAAATTAACCCTTTAGCATATCTCCCAGTAACACCTTCCCTCTTATGTTTTTCCTAGAAGCGATTGAATTTTGTTTGCTTTTCACGTATCTTTTAAAACTTTTATGGGATTGGATGGATGTTTGCCTCATTCCTTCTTTTATTTTTAAAGAATGTCTTTTTGTCACTTCCAGCTGGATCTACCATGAAAGACATCAGAGTTCAGGAGGAGACTGGGTGTCATGTTATTCAGGTACAAAAAGACTTGGACAGTAACTCAAAAATGATCAAATAATAGTGCATGCATCACGTGCAATGGGAAGCTCTTCTGGAGAGTGGGAGAAGCTTCCAGATAAGGTGACAGTGAAACTGGCTTTTGAAAGATGAGGAAGAGTTGTGTGAGAGTAGGGAGCGAAGGGGGATGTGGAGGGATGGGGAATGGGCAGGGAAACCAGCACTGTAAAGACCTGGACAATTAAGGTGGCACATTCAGTTCAGGGAATGGGGAATGAGGTGTGGCAGGAATGCTCTGGAGAGACAGTAGTTTGCTTGTATGGAATTTTGCTTGAGAGACCTCACTACAGTTTCTAATCTGGTGATGTTATCATCCATCACTGTCCCTGTCAGATAGTTTGGAATAGGTGTGATGATCACAGTAACATCAAGCATAATATTTCATGAATTCTCACAAAGTCACAGGCAGGTACCAGTTATCCCCATTTTATGAATGAGGTGATAAAGACAGGGATAATAGGTGATTTCCCCAAGCTCACATGGGTATTAAGCTGAGTCAGAGGTAGGAACTGCTTTGACTTTAATGCTTGCTCTTTTCATGAGCACCCTGTATTGCTTCTCCTATGCAGTTAGGCAGGTAGGTGAAAGAAAAGCCCATGTTTCTCTCTAGTCACACACTTTGACTGACTGTGTGTGTGGAGCTCATACACCAAATTCTCCAGTGTTCTGGATAGTAACTGGGTATCCTACAATGTTATTCTGACACTACCTGGAGCTGGCTCAGACCCTGCAGGTTAGGCGTTTAGTCCCATGAGACTACCCCCACTTCAGATGCCAATGGCAAGTATTAGGTTTTCTCCTGTACCTTTGACCAAGCTATGACAAATCAGAGGTTCTCATGACCCCCTTCTTTGATTTAATCATTTGCTTGAACAGCTTACAGAACTCAGAAAAACAGTTTATTTCCTTTTTTTCTGAGAGACAGGGTCTCATTTTGTTGCCCAGGCCGGTGTGCAATGTTGCAGTCATAGCTCACTGCAGCCTCAACTGCCTGGGCCCAAGTGGTCCTCCCTGCTCCCTAGTAGCTGAGACTACACACCTGCACCACCACATCTGGCTAATTAATTTTTTTGTAGCGATGGGAACTTGTTTTGTTGCCCAGGCTGGCCACAAATTCTTGGGCCCAAGTGATCCTCCCACCTCAGTCACTTAAAGTGCTGGGATTACAGATGTGAGCCACCGCATCAGTCAGCTCATTTTCTGTTCCTGGTTCACTGTAAAGGATATGTCTCAGAAACAGCCAGCGAAAGAGATGTGCATGCTGGATGCAGTGGCTCATGCCTGTGATCCCAGCACTTCGGGAGGTTGAGTTGGGAGGATCGCTTAAATGCAGGAGCAGGAGTTTGAGTTCAGCCTGGGAAACATGGTCAAACCCTCTCTCTATAAGAAATGCAAAAATTAGCTGGGCATGTTGATATGCACCTGTAATCCCAGCTACTCAGGAGGCTGAGGCAGCAGAACCACTTGAACCCAGGATGCTGAGGTTGCAGTGAGCTGAGATCATGCTACTGCACTCCAGCCTGGGCTACTGAGCAAGATTTTGTCTCAAAAAGTAAATGAAAATAAATAAATAACTAGGTGTGGTGGTGTGCACCTGTAGTTCCAACTACTAGGAAAGCTGAGGTGAGGATGCATTGATCTAGGGACTGGGGAAACTTAGGTTGTGGTGAGGTGAAATTGTGCCACTGCACTCTAGCCTGGACAAAGGAGCCAGACCCTGTCTTTAAAAAAAAGAAAGAAAGAGGAGAAAGAAAGGAAGGAAAGGGAGAAAGAAATGAAAGAAGGATGGATGCCCGGGGAAGGTAAGTGGGAGGTGCACAGAGCTTCCATGCCCTGTGTTCAAACGCCACCCTCCCAGCACCTCCTGTGTTCAGCAACCAGAAGCTCTGCAAACCCTGTTGTTCAGGGTGTTTACAGAGGCTCTATTATGCAAGCATGATTGATAAAGTCTTTGGCCATTGGTAATTAAGTCAATCTTCAGCCACTCTCCCCTCCTGGAGTTTAGCAGGTGAGGCTAAAAGTTCTAAGCCTCTAATCATGTGGTTGCTTTCTCTGGCAATCAGCCCTCCTCCTGAAGAAATCCAGGAGCATGCAGCCACGCAGTCATCTCAACTGGGGATAAGAATCCCCAAATGCATTCTTAGCATGCTGGAGATCCCAAAGTTCTTAGAGTCTCTTGTGTTAGAAAGCTGGGGCCAAGACCAAGTATTAAAACTAAAGTTGCTCCTATCACCTCTATCACTGAGGTCTTTATAAGCATTCAAAGCTCTGTGCCAGGAACAGTATATATTTATTTTCTTTTTTTGAGACAGAATCTCCCTGTATCATCCAGGCTGGAGCACAGTAATATGATCATAGCTCACTTTAGCTTTGACCTCCTGAGCTCAAGTGATCTTCCCACCTCAGACTTCAGAGTAGCTGGGACTACACATGCATGTCACCCATGCCCAGCTCACTTTTGTAGAAATGAGATTCAGTTATGTTGCCCAGGCTGATCTCAAACTCCTGGGCTAAAGCCATTATTTCACGTCAGCCTCTCAAGTAGCTGGGACTGCAGGCGCTCACCACCATGTCTGGCGAATATTTATTGTTATGCTTTTGTAGAGGTGGGATCTCACTATGTTGTCCAGGCTAGTTTCAAACTCCACGCCTTAAATATTCCTCCTGCCTTGACTTCCCAAAGTGTTGGGATTATGGGTGGGATCCACCATGCCCAGCAGTCACAAAGATCCTTATAAAAGAAAGAGGTTAGAAGAGTCAGAATTGGAGCAGGAGATGTGGTGGTGGAAGCAGAGTTAGAGAGGGAGATTTGCAGATGTTTCACTCCTGGCTTTAAAGATGGAGTTAATGGCCATGATCCAAGCAATGGGGGTAGCTTCTAGAAGCTGGAAAAGCCAAGGGAACACTAGAGCCTCCAGAAGGAATGCAGCCCTGCTTTTAAGCACACCTTAACTTTAGCCTTAATATACCTAATTTGGGCTTCTGATTCCCAGAACTGTAAGTTGGTAGATTTGTGGTGTTTCAAGGGACTAATGTAGGGTAGTTTGTGGCAGCAGCAAGAGGAAATAAACATGACACCAAGCATCGTGGCTGATGGTGGTAATCCCAGTACTTTAGAAATCCCAGCGGGAGGATCACTTGAGGCCAGGAGTCCAAGATCAGCCTGGGCAACATAGTGAGACCCTGTCTCTACAAAAAATTAAATTGGCCGGTGTGGTGGCTCACTCCTGTAATCCTAACATTTTAAGGGGCCAAGGATCACCTGAGGTCAGGACTTTGAGACCAGCCTGGCCAACATGACAAAAATACAAAAATTAGACAGGCATGGTTGCACACAGCTGTGATCCCAGCTACTTGGGAGGCGGAGGCTGAAGAATCACTTGAACCTGGGAGGTGGAGGTTGCAGTGAGCTGGGATTGCACCATTGCACTCCAGCTTGGGCAAGAAGAGTGAAACGCCATTTC